ATCAAGCATGCGATTTCGCGCCACTCGTCCGATTCATCGAGCCATCTAATTGGTCATAGGGTTGTCGTGACGCAACCATGCGTCATTCTCTGGCCAATCATTCTCTGTCTTCGTTCCCCGCCATATTGCAGCGTGGTGTGTGTTGGACGAAATGTAAGTACTGATTAAAATGAAAACGTAATCGTGGATAAAATACGATAAACACTTGATTGAACATTATGGTCCATGGGTGTTATTCATGTAATTTATATTTAAGGATTCATGTAACTTAAATGAGTTGAAACCCACAAATTTGTTTCCTTAGGAATAAATTAGTTTTGTTGTTCGCGGCATCCGGTAGGGCTCAGCTCAAATATACCGCAGTACATTTTAGATAGCCTAGCTACCTAGCTCTCTTGGTCTAGGCTAGGCCTATACAAAGCAGGCAAGAGAATACACGTAGAAAAGGCGTCTAAAGAGGTATGATTGTGTCGCATTTAAATCCTATGCAGTATGCTTAGGTATGTTTTGAAGAAGGACCCGTTTATACTGCGCTGCCACAGAGCTACTACGGCCTAGCTCTCTAGGCTAGGCCTAGGCTAAGTAAGCCTTTTAACTTTTAAGGCTAGGCTAGCGCTTATGTTTTTTTTGCAGCAGGCGGCCTAGCCTAAGCTGTAGGCCTTCTCATCTGTGCTACTGTAGCGTGGAATGTCATGTGCAACAAGTTTATCACTATCGGGGCCTAGACATCTTGAGGATAATATAACTATGCCTATAATGCGCCGTGGCTAGAGATACGGTACCGTATCGGAACTTCCGATTGCTAAAGGTGACGTCATTCAGTGCACTGCTGCTGCAAGAGTAATGAGTGTGTGTTTTAGCAACAATCGAAGATTCGTTCGTTCGCGGGTGTAAAAATATTCAAAAATAATAATTGCTGGCTGTGAGCCTGCTTTCCTGCCGAGTTGTTGTTATACTATTATGCAACACCTTTACTGCACAATATCCAAGACTGACTGTATACAATAACATTGTGTTAGCTTTCGTATGACTCGAGAAAGGATTGTGTAATCACAGACCCCATACAGTATATGGTCTGAGTATGATTAATTTTATATTTTCTCCTGATAGCATTTGACCTGACCTTATCGCATCATTAAAAAGGGTTAGTGTAATTCCTTGCATGTCATTTTCATATTTTCATACATCGTTATAGGCATACCTATTTTTTTTTATTGTAATCACACATGTAGATATGAATGTGACTTGGGGCATGTTTCTGCTGAATAACGCCAAAAACGTGTGTTATTTTTAAACGGTTAAATTCCTTCGCGACATGAGATACAGAGTTCAGTAATAATACTTCAAATGCTACTTCATCAACTTCCTCTGCATTCAGCAAATGATTTCACAAGTCTTAATAAACAATCATATTACACCGGTGGCGGTATTTTATTGGATGATGCAGTTTACCATAGTAAACGGAAGACAAGATACGGTACCATATTCTTAGCCACAGCGTATTATTATTATTATTATTATTATTATTATGTAATTCTTAATTAAAAAAAGAAAAGAGGTTTTCCTTCAATGTTTTTCTTGGCAGTATTGTAAAAGCTTTTCCTCGTTTAGTGCTTGAAACAGCGTCTAATAATAAGTTCTTTAATGTATTTTTAATTTTTCAACGTCCATCACTTTTAATTTAAGACTTGATGTTATTCAGACTTGTTCATAATGATAATTTTACATATTATTTTGTTTGAATGTTTGCTTAGCGAAGTATCTGTAGTAATAATTTTATATAATGATTTTAATAAGATTAAACTTTTGGAATAAATATTGCATGCATTTTTCTACAAATTACAAAAGTAATAATAATTCTAAGCAATTGTCAATCATAATTTTCATATGGAATGTTTCTTTTTTTTTTATAAATTTAATTAACAATGCATTAAGTTTGTGTACTACCAAAAATACTAGAAACACAAGGTAGATTTCACAGAAAAATACTGTTCCACCGAAATGCATGGTGGGAATACAAACAATGGGTGCCGCGTACGACTGGATATCAAAAACTTCTACTGAACTTACATAAACTGTAACAGTGACTACATAACCTCCTTTTGCGGAGGCAGAAATCATTGTCATCCATAAGATACTACAAGTAGGCATAAATAAACCAATAGAATAAAATTAACACTACACTGCCAGTTGAATGTAATTTCAGAGTTTTTCAGGCAATAAAATTATCTTGAATCTTGAGAATTGTCTCGAGAATCGTATGACAGGATTCTGATTAGTTATAAAGTTTCCATCATTAGTGGAAAGAGAAGGGTGCCGCGTGCGTCTGGATTTACTTAGTAACCGAAGGGCGGCATATACGTCTGGACCAAGTATAATTAACTTGCATTAATAAAAAGGGAAGGGCGCAGTGTACGTCTAAACCAATTTCATCTTCTTCATGAAAAATGAGTTCTCATTATTTTTTATTTAATTAATTATTTATTATTATTATTGTTATTATTGTTAATCAGCTCTCATGTGAGAACAATTTATTTGAAAATATACTTTTAAATTTGTGGGTGTGTCTCTTTTGAGTCGTGTTTCTAGTACGACCAAGTTCCCCTTCATTTGTCAAGTACAGCAATCATGATTATTAATTATTGTTGTTGTTGTTAGTAGTTGTTGTTAATCACCTCTCACAATTTGTGAGTAAGTCTGGTATAATTTATTCTTCAAGAGATATATACAGTAGGCCTCCTTATGTCTCCTATTACGTATCCTGTTTTGTGTGTGTTTTACCAGCTCATCAATCCAACCCTTATGTGTATTATAGCAAACACATGGAGTTGGATAGCTTGCCTTCCAATCCCTACAGTAGGTCCTGGTTTCATTTCTTGTCACGGTGAAAAGTTTTTTTTTTCTCATTACCAAAATCAACTCCACTTCCTAAGCCTTATAATAAAACTTGGTCTATGTCACAGATGGGCAAATTGGGCCTGAGCCACATATGGCCCAACAGTGATTTTGTTGCGGCCAAGAAAATGAGTTAAAAATCCACCAAACATTTTTGACTAGAAAACACCGTTTTTTTAACAGCCCGAGAATAAAGTGGTATAAAAGCAGTGCATGGAGGTTTTTGAAATTGCACTGTAAACATTAAAGTTTGGGTGCAGCTTTTGGTGTTAAATCAAATATTCACTTTGGCTCTCTAATAGATTTTTATGCCCACCCCTGGTCTATGTAGAACACATTGTTGTGTGTGTATGTTAGTCTTGTGGGGGTTGAATTTGGGGGTTGGCATTTCAGAGAGTGATTACATTCACTGTTTGGCTTCTTGGCCCTTGTGTCTATAAACCTGAATAAAGTATAAAAACATGGGTTATATAAATATGGCCCAACAAGGTGATGAATTGTATATACTACAGTATGATAATATTCAACCTTGATTGAAGCAGCTCTCACTAAGTCAACCCATTTGCTTGTACATGTGTTGCGTAGCAAACATCATACATGGGTTGAATTTATGCCCCAAAAACGTGATCAAATGTATAAACTATAATAATATTCAGCATCGTGAATTAAGAACGTGACTAGACCTTATAGTGACTGACAAAGTTCATACAGGCTCATGACCTCCTGCTCTCCTGCACATTTACAAAATTACATTTAACACATTTACAAAATTACATGATCATCAGTCATCAGTATTCTCTTCTTTATTAATATCTATTTGTATATCAAAGAATCATATATATACAGGTATATATATATATATATATATAAATATATGTATATATAAATATATATATAATTGTATTGTCCATTGTAATGTACCCTAGAATAATATACTTGATGAATGATTAAGTAGTGTAGGCCTATAATTATAGCAATTCTTCTCCCTTTTCCCATCTTCCCAATGTTTTGTATTTAAATAATCTTTTAATCCTAAAAAAAATCTGGTTAGTTTTTGCTATTCAATAGAAATTTAACATAAACTTTTCTTAATTTGTTTCTGTAATATTGTAGCAGGCCTACATTGTTAAAGTCTATCAATTTTTTTTTTTGTGTATCTTACATAATTCGGCCTGATGTTACCATCAATGTTAATGAGAGGCGGCCACACAATATTTATTTTAATTAATTAGCCATGAAATACTCGCACCTAGGGCTGAAACATAGCGTGAGCCACTTCACAACCTTCAACTGTGCAAACTGGTGTAACTAAGCATGTCCGGCCGAGAATGGTCAGCGTGTGTTTCAAACCCTTGACGACGAGTTTCACAACCTGAATGGAAATTGCTGCGCCAAACCACCTTCCCCTTTTGCTATAGGGTCCAAGCTTTAATGGATTTTTTTCCGAACGCTTACCTCGAATTTCATTTATCATTTATATTGAATAATAATAATAATGTTGGTCTTATATAGCGCTTCATGCATAAAGCCTCTAAATGCTTCACATTACTACCCCAGTCATTGTATCAAACACGTATGGAACACATGCTCAGCTCCCTGGGGAGAATTCCATGCTTACCGTGCCTCAAATTTAGGCCACCAATATTTTTAGTGGGTCATTGGAAAAAGAATATCCAACTCCGTGCTAATCATCCTCACCCAGCCTTTTTGATAACCTTTATTTAGAATTTTATGTAACTGAACCTTTGGACAATTTACACTTTAATTTATGTGCTTTATATTTAGATGTATATATGTGAAGAACAATCAAAGACAAGGTTTTTATAAGTGTTTTCCTTTGATGTCTCTGTTGACATTATTGATGTCAACAGAGACGATCATTAATATTCATCAATTTTTTATGCTGTCAGCAAACTTGATTGTTATTAATTTTGTTGCCATGCAGACTGCCACCAAAAAAAACCCCCAAAAAACCGCACTGGCATAATACCATTTTAATTTTACATTGTTTTTTTTTTATATTATTCATTTCAGAAATTTACATAGCAAGACATCATTATGGCAGAAAACAATCAGTAAGTAAATTCTATTTTATTATTTAGGGAAGATTAGATTTATGCTCTTGAAGATCATTTTTTTCAATTTACCATATCAAAATCCTATCACGTGTTTGTTTGTGGTGAATTTTGTTTTTAATTATGATGTACAGGTTTACAGAAGCAACATAATGTATTTTAATTCGTTCCTTTCATTTTTTTTTTCATTTATTTAAAAATAAACTATAAAAAATATACAAAAAGAAAAACACCCTAAAAGTAAAATAAATCCTGCAAAAGCGGGCACTTGTTTTCATGAAATAATAGTTGCAGGTGTGGATGGGATAGAGGATTTACCTGTAAAGGGCCACAAGTATAATTTAAATCAACACTTGTCATTCTCTTCCTAGTCTTGAACTATTCCTCTAGCAGACTAAGACTCTTGGTACAATAGATTTTTTTTTTCAATGTAAGAAAAGTACATGCAAATGAAACGTAGGTGGCACTCAACATAGAATGGATTTTTTTAAAATTATAGTTACATAGAGCTTATGCTGATGAGAACAACGATGATGATAATAATAATGATAATAATAATAAAACAATACTATTTATATTATGCCTCATGGATCACAGATCTCTCTGGGCGTTTTACATAAGTCTTAAACTATGGTGGAAAACTATCCCCCCCACCAGTCACCAACAACTCTGTATTTCTGAGTCTACATGTTGGGCAAGGTTATCATTTACTGTATCATTATAATGCTAATAATATACTGTACATTGATATTTTTTTTCAAATACAGTACATACAATTATATACTGTAACCTCTGTTTGGATTTGAGCCAAAATTACTAGAATTCCATAAATGTGCTAGAATAACTGAGCTAGAAGCCGCAACTACATAATTATGCACTCGCAGCCTTTGTTTCAAATCGTAATAGGAGAAATCAGTTATCTTTTTATGACATAAATGTCATTGAGATTTAAAGTAATAAATCATAACTATTAAAAAAAAATCATTTACAGTGAGTGACTCACCATTTACAGTTATATTCGTGGAAACAAAGTTTCAGGGTTTTTTTGTATTTGAATTTGGAAACCTGGGATATAAAAGCTGCCATCTTAACCACCCAGCTAAAGTTGCCCTAAAAAAAAAGTCAAATATAAAATTAGTGTCGGAGCAAATAATTTAAAATTGAGGCCTATGAAGGGACTTTAACAGATAGAGAGTGTAGACCACCTCAGTGTCTAAGGCACGAAAATTTATGATTATGGCAAATGGTACTTTTTGGCCTAAATTTGATTAATATTCTCCTCTTTTTCTCCATTTTTTTAAATAATTTTAAAAATTTAAGAGGGCCCCGGGCCGACTCGGCCCCACTCTGAGTCGGCCACTGACAAGCAATGTTGAATGAATGAAATTGTTTACTGAAAAATTGCTATAAAATAGCTACTAATGTGATGATATCCTTTTGTAATGATTGGCATGATAATTTATTCAGGAATGCTATGTATTACTCACTGTTCTGACCAACAAACAAGGTTTGTCATGTTGTAATAAAACTGAAATAATTAATTTTTATTTGGCATTTCAATGGAGTTAAATTGATAAATATTAGCCATTGCTAATAGATGATTTAACCTCCGTTAACACTCTGCCCGCCAAACACAGATCTCTGTGTTTGGTAACGCAAAGCTTGACTGCCAATCACGGAGATGTCAGTGTTTCAGGTTTTTTAACGGAATCCGATAGATGGGGTAATTAACTGACATGTACTAACTATTTAAACACTACATTCAGTCTGGACCGTAAGTATTTCACTATTTGTTTGTTTACTTTAGCGTAGAACTGTATTGCTTTACTTTCACAAAATCGCAATTATCTCAGCTTCGTTGTGCTAAATTGCGTAAATCTCCAAAAGTGAGTCATTTTAATGTTACTGTTTAAATGGGTCAGAGATTGTGATTAAAATAAAGTGTTTGGTACCATTGTAAAGCTATAATGTTTGTAGTCCTTGTAGTATTCACTACATGTCAGTCTGATCACATACGCACTCTCAACGAGCTTCGAAATGTGTTAAAATTTGCTAAAAAAAATCTGGAGGTGCCTGATATATTTTTTTCAAACCCCTGGCAGTCAGAGTATTAAAAAGGGTTCAAATAAAATTTCAAGTCTTGCTTACTAATGGGGTATGATTTTCTTTCTTATAGGTCCGCAGATGCTATTTCCAACATGGAAGCAGGACCAGCCGGAGATTCCATGGAAGATGTGGAAGATGAAGAAGTAGGTGTGCAAGAGCGTGTCATAGATGACAAAGTCAACTGTAAGTGTGTTAGCTTTTATATTTTTTATCCTACCATAGAGATATGGTAATACTAGAACGCTATGTTCTGAATACGCAGAGCTGTGTGTGTACTCAACAAGATGGCTGCCATAGATTGAGTCAATCAAAATATGCCTAAGCTTCATTTTTAAATGGCGCCCTCAATTTACACTTAAAAGTTTTGAGTACAGCTTAGTTACCCGTATGTTGAAGCTCGAGCATTGTGGTAATACGGTGTAGCGTACACAGTTTTTGATTTTCAATCCTCCGTACTGTATTTTTTAATTAGATACTCCACTTGGCCTCTATTTTCTAGTCTAGTTTATAATTAATAATAATGATTAATAAAAATATTTATGGTTGTAATATGTATGCCAGCCCTGAAGGTGGTACTTTCCTACGGTGGCCATCTTGTTAGGTACACATACACAACACTGCATTGTTTGTCGCCTAGTCAGCATTCTAGGTGTTTAAAAGCTTTATGGATTCTTTGTACACATAGTTGCAAGTGTATTTTTTACCCATATGTAGCAAGGGGTTTCCTAGCCGCAGAGCACATTATAGGGTTTTTAATTAATTTTCGTGGGGTGCAGCAAAATCCTCCCAACAAAAAGGAATCACCTAAACAGCTCAGCTTTTCTTAATTGTACTATAGTTGTTTTACTTAAACTGTTTGTTTTTCAGTGGTATTACAGAATCCACAAGTCCTAGCATCACTACAACACCAATTAGACAGCCTTGTTGGTCAGCAGAGTGGCTATATTGAAAGGTAAGTTGTAGTTGGCAAGTTGGTTTAATGGATTTATTGCTGACCAAGCAGAAATTTATTTTACAGCTACTAAACTTTAGGTTGTGTCCACACTATCAAATTCGCTTTGACATAAGTCTGTTGTATGCCCAAATATAGTCATGTTGTGGCTATATATGGTCATGATGTGATGTCATCATGACCATATTTAGGCATGTCACATGTTTTTGTCAAATAATAAAATTTCATGGTTTGGACAGGAATTTAGAAATAGGTTGGTGTAAATGTCAGGTGTGTTTAAATGTAAGTGTATGCGTCTTCAAAAACTAGACAAGAAAATGGTTCTTGTTGTGATTTTAAATTAAAAGCTAATAGCATAAATGTATCTATTTATCTTTCATCTTGTTTGCTCAATTATCATTTTAGTTTACCAAAAGTTGTGAAGCGTCGTATCAAAGCCTTGAAGAAGCTACAGCTAAATCACACAAAGTTAGAAGCTAAATTTTATGAGGAAGTTCATCAATTAGAGTGCAAATATGCTAAACTTTATGAAGGTCTCTATGAAAAGGTAAGTTACTGCATGATTACATTGATGATATATTACTGTTCTTGAGGACGGACTTTGGTGTCTGGCACATGTCAGTAGTGTTTTAGAATGAGTTTACTTCCCAACATATTATTATTATTATTATTATTATTATTATTCTTATTTGATAGGATTTATATAGCACACATATCCAGAAAACTGCTCAAAGAAATTTTTTGCATGGTCATTGGATACAAAATTAATCATACACAACATGCAACTTTCTCTGCTCATCGAGGGGTATCCTAGCTATGCGTGTAATCTGTATCATTCACCTCCTACCAGGTACCCATTTATACTCCTGGAAGAAGAGAGGTAAATGCAGATAAAGTCTGGTGCCCAATGGTACAAGCAGTGTGATGAGCATTAGTCTTAAACCCCTGATCTTCCGATTGAAAGCCCAAATGTCTTACGCGCTGCGTCACACGCTTCCACAAATACAAATGCTAGGCACTTGATAAAAAATGGTTTGCTGTACTGTTTTTTTATGCGTTGTACAAAAATATGTCCAGCTTACGGTGTTTTAGTTATGAGAAATAAAATACCAGGACCATTGGATTTAAAAGCAAGTATTTTAAGCACAAGGTTACAGCTTGAGACTAGAGATGATATCAATGAAGAATAATTAGACTTATTAATTTTTAATGCAACCAACCAAATGGTCTTTTTTCCGACCAAATTATTTTGTTTTTCCAACAGAGGAAAGATGTAGTTACAGCACAAATTGAGCCCACAGACTCGGACTGCGAGTGGGAGAGTAGCGAGGACGAAGAGGAGGAGGAAGAGGACAACAAGCTTGCTGTAAGTGAGCCCCAAGGGTCTGTTGTAAGTGGAATATAGGGTTTGTTTGTTTGATTCAACCTCTACACAGAAAATTAACATTGGCACTGACATTCTTAGGAACCATTGTTAGTGGGTAATAACATTTTAGTTGATTTTTATATAGTGGTGTTGGAGATGTATTGTATTGTCTTTTCTGAAGTAGTGTTGTAGAATGTACTATAATCTGTTATCTTTTGATATATGTCTATTGTACCCATGCATATGCCCATCCCTTGCTCTGAATGACGTACCTTGATCTCATACCATTCTAGGGGATGTAACTAGTTTTTACAATGAATTATTTTTAAGGAAGCCTAGAAGAGATTGTGGTTATTTGATGTTATAGATATTAGTTTTACATTTGAGAATCTACAAGATAATTACTAATCATTTGTTTTATTTATTTTTTATTAAGAATGAGCTGAAAGAAAAAGCACAATTAGAAGACAAAGAGGAAGGTTAGTTGACAATAATTAATTGATAATAATAATTAAGTATCTATAAAAGGTGATTCGAAAATATGTTTAGGGAGACAGCTGAAAATAAAGATGATCTGTGGCCATAGTATTTTGAGTACTCGTGGAACAATTAGTAGATTAAGGTCAAAAGGGGAGGGGGAGGCTATGGGGGAATATTTAGGAAGGAGATCAAGTGGGCTGTTGGAGTCGCAGTGCTTTAAATGTTAGTAAAATGATTTTATGCTTTATTTGCGAGTTAATGAGAAGCCACGGCAAATTATGAATAACGGGAGATATACTTGCCCTTCTCATACAATACTCGCCAACACAATTCAAAATATTATTTAGTGTTCTCTACCAAAGCAACCCCATGGCTAGCAATGGTTTCCATAGCTTTGTTTTTCGTGAATGCTGAGAAAAGAAAATTGAACTTTCTTACAGAGAATCCACCAGGCATACCAGAATTTTGGTTAACGATATTAAAGAATGTCGACCTGTTGGCGGATATGGTGCAGGAGCATGATGAACCAATCCTGAAGAATCTCCGAGATGTCAAGGTCAAATACTGTGAGAATCCCACTATGGTATGTATTGCATTATTTAATGCCGTGTTGTGGTAACATGCATGGTGTGAACAAAAATATGTAAATTTTGTACTTAGAGTTGAACTCGCCCAAGTCGAATCCACAATGGCACTGACAAATTTATTTGACTTGCAGATCGTTAATTATTGGAAAACACAACAATTTGGCATGTAAAATAAGATCGACTTATACCCCATTCAGACGAGCATCGCATTGCGATCGGTTGTAGCAATTGCGACACCCAATCGCAAAGTAAAATTGTGTGTGAAAGCTCACCAATAGTAGTCGATATGTAATAGATATCGCAATTGTTACCCGTTGCGATTGGGTGCTACAATCTTTATTTTTCACAGGCACTGTTTGGCTGAGGTCAGGCAACATAGGCCTAGACACCGGAGGCCTAGACCCTAGAATGTAAAGTTTGTTTGTGTTGGTCTGAATGCGTTCGTTGATTGCGATCGAGAGTAATCAGTTTTGGATTACCACCGATTACATTGCAACCGATCGCAAGAGAGTATAGTCTGAATAGTGTATTAGAAATTATTCTAGCTAGGCAAAGTCGAATTAGTCAAGTTTAACTGTATTAATTATTGGCAGTGGCTAGGAATTCACTACTATACGCTATCTCAGTAATGGTGGGTGTCCTTAGCTGTTATCCAAACCTGACCTTCTTTAACGTTACTGAGATAGCGTACAGTACCCTACCTCTTGACACATCTTTATTTGAGAAGATGTTTAGAATTGCTTACACCTTCATACTTCTAATCATGCTCTTAAAATTGAACAACTCAAATACATTTTCCTCTGATTGGTTGTGAGGACAAATAAAAGAAAATGAGTTTCTCTCCTTCATGTTTGTGCTTTCTTCTTTTATTTGGCTATTAATAAGACAAAGCACCCATGATATACAGCTGTGTTTGTGTAATCAATTGAGTAATTTAGTAAAAACCGCCACCTTATTTTTAGTTAAATGAGGAAAAACATGCGGAATATTCAGATCATCATTGTAATTAATTGATTTTGATATTTGACTGTTATTTTAAAAACACAGTTTTGCAGTTTATGTACAGTAAAACGTCTAATTTACAAACGTTGATTTTATGAATGGTCTTTGCCCCTGATGACGTCATCATCGACCAATAATTACCGTAAAAATAGTCCGGTTGCGCACGTTTTACAAAGTAATAATGTATACTTTTCTTAATAAAATTAAGTTTGTTGTATTTATTTATTAATAGTTCAATCTTTTCTTCTATTTCTGGTATATTAATCACTACATTAATGTAATAAACCTAACCAGAACAACGAACTACCAACGTGTCGTCGGATTGGGCGCACATGTTACGATGATGAACGAGAGTGCTGAGGTCAGCAACTTTTGGCGACCTAACAACTAGAAAAAACACGATAGAAAGGGCCATAAAACATACAGATTTTTGAATAAGAGTTAAAATAATATTTTGTTAAGTGGAAGAATGCCAGCGGTTAAAATAATTTGGTTTTTATCAAAGGTAAATTCAGCTAGGCTCTAACACGGTAAACCACGCTGCTGCACTGTCAGTTTACGAATTTTTCAATTTACAAACACCCCTTAGTACCAAGGGGTACGTAAAATGGACGTTTTACTGTATATCATTTAAAAACTACAGCATTGCATATTTATTGGCCTAATGTAGTTGATTTTTTTTTAATTTCTTACTCCTGCTAGGGTTTTACGTTAGAATTCTACTTTGATGAAAATGAATATTTCACGAATCAAGTGCTTAAGAAACACTACACAATGAAATGTGAACCGGATGAATCAGACCCATTTAGCTATGAAGGACCAGAAATATTCAGTTCAGTTGGGTAAGTAACTAAGTAAATTGGAGGTGTTATAAGTGTCTAGTCACACATAGAAATTCAGCAGAACAAATATGTTCAGTTAAGAGTATTTGCAGTCTACCTGGTAACCATTATGTTCGTGGGAGGGGGGGACATGTACTGTATGTTGAGTACCTTGACTAAGTACACATGAAACAGCATGGTATTCATACCTTTGACCTTGTGTTTGAGGGCTGAAATCACACCTGTTGTGTGCTGACAACTTATTTACTTAATTTCGCTGTATTGTCAACGAAATGCACAATAATTTATTTCAATTTTATTGTCAAAAAACATTTATAAACAATAAAATTGTCAACATATTGTGGCACGAAGGCCAAATTGTATGCATCAAAAAGTTTATAACCACATTTTGACAGTAATTATGTTGTAGTTCCACATTTATAGTGAAATTAATGGCCTTTATTTAAGTATATATATGTATCCATTTTACACCAAAAAAGTGAATGCCTCCCTCGAATAAATGCCTCCTTCGAATGAAGGCCCCTTCAAAAACACTCAAGTTGCATTTATTAGAATCAAAGGTAATACTAATTAGAAATATATTTTGAAATCAAAACAAAAAGATAGATTTAAAACCAACAAGTCTCTACTACCATTTTTTCTGCAGAACTGCTCTTTTCTTCATGATAGCTTTTTGTTATTTTATAGGTGTTCTATTGATTGGAAGAAGGGCAAGAACGTAACTGTGAGACTGGTGAAAAAGAAACAAAAACACAAGGGTAAAGGAACAACCAGGGTAGTAACCAAAACTGAGCAAAATGATTCATTTTTCAATTTCTTCAACCCACCAGCTGTTCCAGAAGAGGGCGCTGAAGTGGTGTGTACAACTTTTCGTTTTAATGAAGGTTTTTTTTAAAAACTGCCGAATAGAAATAGTGCTGTACATACACTCTACATGAAATTCAAGCTAATAATATTGAAAACTAAAAACATGCTTGGTTTATACAGTAGTTTAGGTGATAAGCACATTGTTGCAACAGTTTAACATTAAACATATTTTCTTGATACAATCCAGCTTATAGAAAACTAATGAATATATAAAAGTACAATAGAAACTACATATTATTGTAAAAAAAAGTTGATGACATGAACTAGGCTAATCCTTGTATATAAACAAAAATTTTCATTTTCTTTATTCTTATTATTAATTTGTTTTTGTATTAAACTCAAGAATAAAGTGAAACTAAATAATTGCTGGTTTCTGTACTAGCATTATATTGAGGGTCATTGTTTCACTTTTGTAATGAGAATTCTTATGTTTATCATTCAATATGCATATATCTAGTTATCTATTTATTAGGAAAACATCAGTAATTTTGATACAATTTCTCAAATGGAAGGAATTATACTGGGGTTGGTAGGTCAGAAAGCAAAAGCTGAATTGTTGGTGTTTTTATCATTTCAGGATGAAGAGACAGAATCACTTTTGAGTGCAGATTTTGAGATCGGGCATTTTTTTAAGGAGCGTGTTGTTCCCCGAGCGGTACTGTATTTCACAGGGGAGGCCATAGAGGATGATGTAAGACAATCCTTTTTATACCTACCCCAAACACTATAAATTACTGTGAACACACACACAGTTTATGAATTGATAGACCAATGGTTAAAATTAGCTGCATCTAGTATTATATAATTTAATTATATGATGTGTTACCTTGGAATAGGCAACTAAATAATAACATCCATTACAAATATTTTTTGTTTATATTATACATTCTTTATCAGTTTGGATGTATTGTAAGTGTAATTGTCAGTGTAATTGTGTGTTTTACTTTTTTAAAGAGGGCTCCTGAATATCAGCTATCTTCTTGGCTTAGCTAGAAGGGTCATCCTCTTTCAATATGGTTTAAATAATAAAATTAAAAAAAATTGTCAGTCTGATATTTAATGCCTTTTGTTCTTTTTTTTCCAGTTTGAGGAAGAAGGCGAGGATGATGTAAAGTATTTTTTTTTTTATTTAAAAATAAACTTACGTAATGCCATTTGGATTTGTAACATTCAATATATGTGGTGCTTTGTGTAAACTAATTAGAAATTATACGCAATACTGCTAAAATTTTAAATATAAATGTGCATTTTCATTATAGGATAACGAGGAGGAGGAAGACGAAGATGGAGACTATGATCCAGCTAAGGTGAGTAGACACTTAAGCCAGGCACACACCAGGCCTACTTCCCTAATAAGTAAATCCCTCTTTGTCACCATAGTGACTAGAATTAATCCGTCTCAACTAACATCAACTGACCTCCAACTAGTTGCCAGCATCACTCATGTTGACTTTCGCTGGCAATTGCGCAACTGCAAGCAACTCAGTTGCCCAGATCGCTTAATTCGCTTCAGACTAAATGTACAAGTAGTTGTCTTGCAACACTACTATAATTTGATGCGATGTTAGCATGTGCTGCATGTTGCGCTTAATAGACTAGAGTTATTCGGTTTCAATCATTCAATCGTTTGTCAGTTACTTTGAATTGCTGCAAAATAGAATGTGGGTGACTGAGAACAACTAGTTACCAGAGGGCTCATGTAGCCTCGAACTGCGCAACTCGCATTTGCTTGTAAGTTGCCAACCATCAGGTGATGTCTATTAAGTCGAGTCAAAAAAGGTGACATAAGCTAAGCTTTAGATACTCAACACATAACTGAAACTTATGGTTTAGTCGCAGATTTGAGTAGGTTACATAGCCACTTTCACATAGAGCTAAGTTACTGCAATATTGCGGAAATATTTCCAACAATACCTTATAAAAAGAAAGTCAAAACTAACTGCAGCTGCACTGTTAGGGCTGTGCTAACAAAAGCAGGTCACATTTCCGCAACATTACTTCTTACTTAAGAGCAATTTTTTAGAAAATTTAAACAATAAAGCATGCAGTCTGTGGTGAATAAAAAATTAAACCAATGGCTCACAGCATGCATGATCCATTCCTTCAGGAAGACATAAAATTTCGGCAATATTATTACAGCAATATTTGGTTAGTATAAATGGTCAATATCAGAAAGTGTGCTGGTATTATTATTGCCAGAACCTTTGACTGAAAATGGCTTTGCTGTTTCATATTATAATTTAAACTTGTGGTCTTACTTTATTCCAGGATACTAAACCCTCAGAATGCAAACAACAATAGATGACTTTCAACCTGTTCCATTGCACATGCAGTGCAGCGAAGATGTTGCCTTGATCTCTGTGTTTTTAACTTGCACAAACCTTACCCCACCTATTATCAACTAGCGAAGTTATAAACAATTATTCTATCTGCAGTAGTGTTTCGGAAGTACATACTTGTAAAAAGTCTTGAGAAACATCATGAAACTGTTCGTTAAAGGTATTGTGTTGGAATTGTTGTGGATAAGTTTTTTTTTTTTATTTAGTTTTTTTTTCGTTTATTTTGTCGTTGAGCTTAACATATTCACACAAAGAAGTTTATAATGAGCACTCCTTTTAAACAGGTTATAAGAGATGTGTATTTGTCATTGTTTCCTTATGAAAAATAGTAAAAAAAAAAGTCTGCAGTAGTTGTTCTGGTCTTCTACTATCACTCTCATTCTTGTGGATGTAACTTAAATATATGATAATGATTGTCATTAAAATGAACTAATTTAGCCTTGAATACCAATTTTGATTCTTGGGTATTCAGTGTATATAGCTCTGTATTTTGTACAAGAAAACATTGAGAATCTACCGCCCTCATATTTACAGTTAGTCCGGCCAATCAGACAGTTGTTTAGTTTTGAGTGATGCTATAATTTTTGAACCAAATTACAAGGCCAATTACACTTCAATTAATGCTTATTAAATACTTAAAATATAAATGTATTTTCTATGTTGATTTCAAAGTGATATCAGGATAATATAAATATTTTGTAATAGATGCCTCCCTAAGGAGCACGGTGAGAGTGTTTTTTTGCACTGGTTTTCTCGTTTCCAAAACTCATAAATATACAACGTTATCTCTCTTAATTCACACAAGCTCTGGTCATCTCATCAATATGACAATAATGAGAAATACAATTCAATTTCTACTGGCATTCAGATACACCACAAACTATTTGTGTTGTATTAGTTTGACATTTAGCGTACATGTACTATACAGTATATTCAAAATTGCCAGTTTTAAATTCTGGTGGAGATGGATCGTTTACCAGTGCTGCTCCATAATCTTCAATACATTTTTCTTATTTTATTCCATGCACTAATTTGATGATAGTGCATGGTTTTTTTCACCATTATACATTCACTAAAGCCATCAATGTTTTAATGGCATGTTATTTACTTTTTTTCATTGACAAATGAAAATTGCATAGAGTAAATTCGGTAAATGTGGCATTCATAGAGCAAAGAAAACTATCGAAACATGCAAAATGTGATTTAATCTCATTGATAAAGGGAAATTTAAGAAATTTCTAGATTTCATAGAGGCTAAACAGACTAATAGACTGAAAAATATTTTGACTGGGAGTATTTTAGATCTACTTAGAGGCACAATGAATGACCCTGGATATGGCATTGGTAGAGGATATGGGGCAGGGGAGGAGGATAGGCCAAGATGAAATTTTTCCTCAGTTTTACATCATTTGATTGGCTTAAACTGTAAAACAATTAGTATAGCAGCTTGCATTAAGCTACAGTAACAGGAAATTTTGTACTGGGCATCAGAAAATTTCTTAGGCTCTATTGGCTTTATTTGCACAAATTAGTGCATAGAAACCTGCTATACAAATTGCTTGATATTGTATCACTGTATTATTTGGGGCAAACCATTTATAATTCAAACTAATGTTTTACTTTTTCTTATTGCAATATCTTTCTACAAAGTTCCATATTTAATTGTTACCGATAGCTTCCGAGGTCACTTATACTAATATGTAATTATTGAAATTATTACAGCTAAAAGTAATTTTGTTGGCATTGTTGATGCTTCCTAGTTGACCAGTAGGGCAGTTACATATATGCAAATGATGCAACAACAGAACTGGACAGGAAATGAACGAAAACAATGCTGAATGACTTTATGCATTGAGTTTGAAAATGAGTCCGAGATAATACCCTATTCAGGCTAGACTACATTTGTGATACGATGCAGCAAGTGCTTTAAATGATCGCACAAAATCACAATCGTGTGTGAAAGCTCACCAATAGTAATTGAGATCACGGTTTGTTGTCTGTTTTCAATAAATTCTACTGACAATGATTGGCTGAGGTCAGTCAAACCATTGTAAAGTTTTTTGTCTGAATTTGCCTTAAAATTATGGCATTGAATGAGAGTATTCAAATTTGGATTACCACCAATTACATCGCAAGTCTAGTCTGTCCGAGTAAGGGTATATGTGTTTTGTGAGCATTACTAATATAGTTTAAAATGTGTAGATGTTGTGTGACCTTCCTTAATGTTTTTGAAGGTACTTGCTTTGAATTCAGATATTGACGAGAAATTTGGCAACCTGTCTGTACTCTGTATGAATAACTTGCTTTATCTATCCGATGTCTAGTAACAAAAACCACTGTCATTTATAAAATATGTTACTGATATTGTTTGTCAAATAGTACATTAAAAGATGAAATGGTATTTTGGATTTTGTAATTTGTTGTCTGAGACATGGATTGAAAACAAATCTTGTTTGGTTGACTGTTAATTTCACTGCCAGTAAATTTAAAGGCAAAAGAAATAAAATTAACATGGTTGCAAGGTGGCAAAAACAGACGTGCGTGGCCTTGTAGGTACAGTAATTGCAGAATCAAGATGAAGGCGACAACGAAAGTAAAACCATTGACTTCGAGCTATCTCTAATATTATTATACAGTATTGTACAATACTTAAATTGTTTCAACACCAATTAACAGATGTAAAAATAATACTTTTTTATAATCTCGGCTGAGTAGATGGGCGGCAAAAGTATTTTGGTGTATTGGTCATGCAGGAGATTCCACTTAGAGATGTATTTGGCACTTCTCGATGCCCGGAAAATAGCACTCGCAAACTTAAAAAAATTATTGTTAAAGTATAATATTAAATTGTGAAAAAGCATTTTGTTTTAGTTCATCGCACCTGGGATTTTTTATTTTTTTTTAAATATAAAAACATATCAAATAACATATTTATCTTGGCAAAATATAGGTCAGGTGGCCACTAGGGGCAGATTGCTAAAATCGGTCTTAACGCTTAGCTGGCTTTAATCGTGGCGACACTAATGGTCTATGATTATAGACCATTGCTATACCTTGGTCTAACCAGTTAGCCATCTTAAATCCTACTCGGAGGAGGCTCAGAACAGTCTTAAATCATTTTAATCATGGCGTTACAGGTACTAGACCTAGATCGTCAAAGACTAAGAATCGAACCCCGTAAAAAAACCAGTTTATTTGCGTTCATTTCGATAAATATGCATGTTTTCAGCAAGCGTTACAGCACCCTAAATTTTATGTTACCAGGGAGTTTTTTTTTGCGTTTCAATACTCAAAGCGGTCTAAGCAAAGACCGTTTCATAGCAATGGTCTTTTCAGAGTGACTTTAGTAAGACCGTGATAAAGCCAGCTTCATTCGAGGTGAAGACTGTTTTATAGCAATCCGCCCCTGGCCTTCTGGACCGCTTCCTCCACCCATGATAAAACTGAGCTGCTCATATAGAAAACAAAATCTCGTATGAAATTTTTAATAATTTACAGACATTTAACAAAGTTTGCTTTGAATGGCGTTATTTGAATGTCCGATAATATAGGCAAAACATTTTATGTTTTCTGTTTAAATATACAAAATAATAAGCAGTTATTATTAATAACCTCATATTGCAGTACTGTATGTCTTATATAAATTTAGGCAAAGGTTAATTCCTTGAGAAAGAACCACTGCACCAGGAGAATAAATTATGCTATATGGAATATATACACGTAAATTTAACTTGCACCCCTATCATATAAATTAAATTATATTATATGATAAGTTATATTATATGGCACTTTCTAGCATGAACTTTTGCCTACCTTAAGACTGGCATGAAACCCCACTCTTATCATTCAACATCAAAACTCCACCATTACAGTTTCTACCATAAATATTTCTACTGTACTTCAACAGATCAGATTTAAATATCTTATATAATGTATCAGTTTTGGCCAAGAAAATATTTTCTCGCTTTAATTTTGAATGGAAAGCTAAACTGTATATACAACAGTAGTACAGTACTGTAATTTAAATACAATTCTCTTGCTCAACACAGACAGTAATAGCGACCATTTCAAAAAAATGTCAAGTAGTCAAAAAATAACCTCAAACCTTATTTTGTCAGCTAGCGCCCCCTTACCTAATCATCGATCCCCCACTTCACCTTTGCACCCTCTCGATTTGAAGACCTTTAGATAAGCCACTGACTACAGTAAACAATTAAAAAATCAGCCATCGCCACTAGAACTATTTTTTTCGGAAATGCTTGATTCTTCGCTACTAGAGCTACCTTTGTTTTGGCAAGAACATAACTCTTTTCCAACAAATTGGGGCATGCATACATTACCTGCCCCTCTCAGTTGGCTCTTGCCACGAACGTTCAAAGCAGCATCGGACATAATGTGTCGTATACTTGTGTGTATACTTCGTGTGCTTGTGTGCGATAATCTTCCTGAAGACTTTGTATCCGAGATCGCACCTTTTGGCGGCTTAGGCCTAGTACCATTATTTGAATTTTCATTACACTTCAACTTTTCCATGGAAGTAGTTTTATCCTTTTCAGAATGCTTCTCCTAAAAGACAATACCGGTATAATAGTCATAAAAACATTTATTAAAAATCGCTAAACATGGTATAAAAAAAAAAGGCTCGACTTAGAGGAAAGAATGCAAATTAGTTCAAGCCTATTCTCTCCTGGCCAATGTATATCTCTGATTATCATTTAATTCAGAAATGTCACGCTCAAAATCGCGTATCGCGTATACAATAATGAAAAGAATATAATGAATCCAATGTTATTAATAATTTGAATATTTATAGATTGTAATAATTCATGTAATATATTTAATTAGTGTAATGAAAAGGAATTAATGAATTTAATGTTTAATAATTTTTAATAGTTATAATTTTAATGATTTTTATTGTGATTTATTTAAGTGTTTGCCTGTCTCTGATGCTTTGTTTTAACCACTACTGCTTTTAGTGTCTTTTATCCCTTTTAATGTTATTGTATCCGTTTGGTTGTCCTCCACTTTTCCCCTTTTGATGTTCAACTTCAATTTGTTCTGTATTTGATTCAAATTGCAATAAATTATTATCGTATCGTATGTACGTATAGTATATAACCACTATTCTTTTATGTTGATTACATACCAGTTTCTTTTCACATTCAAGTATAAGATCCTCCATAGATTCCTTCCATCCGAGAACTTGAGCAAACTTACGAACACCTTCAACCATATCGCCTTCATTTGACACATCATTGAATCGCTTCTTAGACGCAAACGGCTCAACGACTTCTCTGTTGATGAGTAACCGCGGTATGTTGCTTCTCACCGAATCCACAATACCAGCAAACGGTTGAACCTAGTGTGGAATGACCATATATGTTATACTTTAAAATTAAAAATGAATTTGTTCAAAGAAAACAGTATAAGATATGAAAGGGTATAAAAAAGTATGAATGTAGTTGAAGAGGAAAAAAACTGATCATAAAAGAAGACTATAATTATGGAGCTTGGAATTTCTATCATATCACTCCCTCCGAAAGTTTGCGGTCTACATTGGCTGCCTAACAAGCAAACTTATCCTCACAAAGCTTACTTGTTGCCTGCATTATTAAAGGCTGTTTTACACTAGGCGAATTTATGCGTCAGTTCATACGCACTCACATTTCTATCGGAGTTTTTAGCTTCTGCGAAATCAGTTCGAACTGTTTCTACTTTTTGCAAAAAACAAAAAAATTTGCAACCAATCAGAGCTCAGGAAGGAAACAGACGTTTTAAATTCACGCAAATAAATTTGTCTAGTGGGAAATAGCCTTTATCGGATATACAGTACGCCCTCTGCGTTCATCCTTTCAAACAATCCTCTCTGTTTCTCCGTACCCCACCAATACCTATGGTTAAAACCCCGCCTTACGATTATGAGCCTGAACCTCAAACTTCTGTACCAACAATTCCCATAATCATTGCAGTTATTTCATCATCATCAACTATTTTTCAATCAAGATATTAAAAAATTTCTTTTTTATTTACCTGCAATGATGTTCCCATGACGATCAATAGATCACATTGTGGGAAGTCTTTCAGGTAGTAGAAAAACTGTTTAGGAAGGTCCTCTCCGAAAAATACAATATCTGGCTTGACTATGCCAGAACAGGATTTACACTTTGGTATATTACCAGAAAGAATAGTAGCCTTAAAATAAAAAAATAAAAAAACAGTCAATAAAGAAATGATGAGATGCTAAAGCAAAGATTATGATAGTAATTTTATTAAGCCTATTTCAATAAGCATTAAAGGTTTTGTTTTATTCTTTTTCCTGTTCTAATTAACAGTTGAAAGCAAATAGCTGAAGATATTCAATTTGTTTTTACTTTTCAATTTTATGTTTGTTTACAGTAGTAGTGTACTGTGTATTTAAAAGAGCATCTCTGTAATCCAAAGTAATTGTCTTCTAAGTACCAACTGTAGTCCTTTTAGGAGCAGTTGCGGTTTTGACGTCTAGTGATAACAGAAAAAAAAATTCACATCAACACCTCAACATTTATATCCCATCCATATTTACATCTACTTCTCTATTGTTACTGTGAGTTTTGAACAAACAATTGGGAAAATAAACATTCCTGATGATGACATGAATAATGTTGAAACACTGAATCCCAGTATTGGAGGAGTATGTATTCCTAACTGAGATTATTCAGTGGACATTTCGGTCTAAATAATCAGCTTCACTAAACTGGGCGTTTATTTAAAGCGGGTTGTGTATTCGATTAAATGTGGTAACTATTGATAGTGACAATTTTTTTCCTCCTCACCTTGATGTTATCACTATTAGTCTTCATTCCACACCTGACACATGATGCCGTTGAAAATGTGCCATGTGCCTCCACAAGCTTAACAGGAGGAATGCCAGCCACTGAGGGTAGAAATGATACGTACAAAAATAAATCAACAATAGACCTTTCAGGAGTGTCAATCAAACCTAAGAACTGACCAATCAGAACAGGGCAACACTGTTGTTTTCTGGGACCTTAGCAACAGTATCTAAGGGGTGGGGCTTAATGGTTAAGCTCTGTTCACACCAACAAATTTTATGAAACAAATTTGTGTGATGTGCCCATACATGGTCATGATGATGTCATATCAAATCCAAATAATGCGAACACCACATTTACTTGTCACATACAATGTGATAGTTTCGACGGAGCTTCAAGTTTGTTACTTGACATCTAAGAATGTTTGCCCTAGGGCAGATAAGACAAGACATATGTGAGGTCTCACTACAAAATGAGTCTCATCGTCAGAAAATCAAAAAATGAGTTTATATTACATTTTGGTAGATCACATTATAAGCTTTAATTTGGTCTTTGAATGGCTTCCCTAGGATAAATAGATCCAGAGATGTGAGCATTTAAAGTTTAGGTGTACGAGAACCAGGTTTTGAGAAAATCGGCCTCAAAGATAAACTAGCCTGTACAAATAATAGGACTAGAATTACAGAATAAGCGAAAAGAACACTATTTTAGTGGGTGCACCCACCGCCACAATAAAATGGAAATTAAAAAATAAATCTCCAAAATATAAGATATGGAATCTCCAAATATAAGTTATGTATATTTCTTCTTAATTATATAAATTTAAAGCAATTAACCATCCCATTACTACACTGTTTGCATTCACCCATAAAATTTCATTTTTATTTTCTCCTCCATCTGGATGTTTTTGGCTGGTAAAACTATTTCCTAAATAAAAAATTTGTTTACGCCCTCCTTGAAAAAAAAAAAAATTCGCAAAACAAGGTAAAAGTCTCTGCTTATTTCTTCAGCATTCTTTTTCATCATTTTACTCTACATGTGTTTGCTTCCCATGGTTTTTATGTGCATCTTGGATCTTGATAATAAACTCGCTGCTCAATCAAGTATCTTGATTGTTGTACAATTTTCATTTAGGCCTTACTAGCCCTACCTAGCAGCCTACCTAGGGCTAGGCCTAGTCCAAGCAGGAAGTTGTTAATTAGGGATTAATATATTGACAGCAACCTTGTTTGGAGGAGCAGTAAAAAAAAGTAAAAGTAAATTGGAACAGTATAGAAAACAGATGACTAGTACAACGACTGACATCCTTCCACAAAATACTTAATGGAAGAATGGACACCAACCCAGAAATATATATCAAACATAAAACTAAAAGGCCCAGTCTCAATATGATTTCACCAACGATGTGTCTCATTTCGTGGTGAGACCTCATATATTTTATACCTTGTTTAGCAAACCCACCACCCGCCAATAATGATGATTTTGAATACAAATTTATTTTGGCCAATTAGTGCACCCACCGCCACAATAAAATGGAAATTAAAAAATAAATCTCCAAAATATAAGATATGGAATCTCCAAATATAAGTTATGTATATTTCTTCTTAATTATATAAATTTAAAGCAATTAACTATCCCATTACTACACTGTTTACATACAACTATAACATTTTATTTTCATTTCTCCTCCATATGGATGTTTTTGGCACAACTATTTGCTAAATGAAAAACAAAATTTTATATTTTTTTTTTCACGCCCTCCTCTGGCGATCTTTAACAAAATAAGTTCGCAAAACAAGGTATAAAAAGGGCTTGTCTATAAGAAAACAAAATGTACATACGTCGTTCAAGTCCATCGATATTCTGTGTATACATTCTTAGAAGCAGTCCTTTCTCGTGCAACATCCTTACAAAGTAGTGCACGTAGTTAGGCTTGAAATTTCCCGGGTACAGCTCGCGGGCCAGCGTAAAGAATGGACGTGGATCATTATGGAAATAGTCGATATCAAAGATAGCCTCAGGGTAGGGGATCTGGTACTGCTGAAGATTATCATATAGACCAGTGCCAGGGGTTCTGAAAATAATAAAAATAGTAGTTATAAATTATTTCATGCATTTGTCAACAGCAACTACAAAAGTACAAATCACTAGAGACAAAATGGCCATGTAGCTCGCATGGACCATAACAGGTGGGCTAAAAAACTAACAGTATGGAAACAAAATAAAAAGAGGAAGACCTAACAAGAAATGGGGTGATCTTTTCTAGGAGGAGCTTGGAGTAAACTGGCCAAATCTGGCAAAGGATACTTCAGAACGGAGTTTGAGGAGGCCAACAGGCTGATGGTGATGAGGATGATGATGATGAAAATGACATACAAGAAGGAAAACAAAGTGTTAAGTTACATCGAAAGCATGGTTTCCACAGAATCGCTACAAAGTCACTACAGCGTTTTCACTGCAATCCTTGCACTGCGTACCTGTCCCCGACTCAATTAGGAACACTACCTGATTCAACTGACCAATCAGCGTCGCCAAAGGATTCGGCGATAGCGTGTAGCGATTTTTATACACACCATAAATATAGGCTAAAATTTATTTCTGTCAAACATTTTTATCATATAAAAAAACTATATTTTTAAGAGCATATAATTTACTTACCTGAAATCTAGTATACCACTAGGTGTGCTTATGCCTGCACCAGCCATTACTACAATGTTCTTACTACGTTTATTTAGAATCCACCTTGCCACATCTTCCAAAGTTTTACATGTATATTTAGCAGATGATGAACTAGATCTGTACAGACGAAAAACATTAATAATATCAGCAATAAGGCCTCTGTGAGGGCTAATGTTGCAGCCATTTTGGTAAAATATTACACTATTTGTAATGATGTATAATAGAAATAAGGAAACAAATGAAATGGATCCCAGGACTTTTCTTTAAAGAGAGCTCAATATGTTGGCCTATTCTTAATTCTGATTTCTATCAGCCAAACTTTCTATATTAAACAAATTCTCACTTCCTTGAGTTTTTCGCATCCTGAGCTCTGATTGATTGCACTTTTTTCGCTTCCCAAAAAAGTAGTAAAAGTTTGAAGTACCGATATCAATGTGAATGTGCATGTGCATGAACAGACGCTTTTGATTCTCCCAGTGGAAAACAGACTTTACCTTGTTGATGTGCTTTTTTCTCGTAAACTTAATTTCTCAAAAGATTTTTCTAGACTCGTACTTGATTTTTTTGGACCGGCCTTTTGACGTGTATTTCTCTTCGGGTTAACGTTATTACTGCTGCTTGAAGATGCTGAACTGTGAATACCACCGGCGGAGATGTCGGTTGCCAGACCTGCCTTCGGCCTCTCAACTGCACTTTCTGTTTTGGAAACACAAAAAATGAATTTGTTAAATAAGATAGTAGTCACCAGCGAATGGATTAGGTAGTTTTCGCCGCACGAGTTAACCTTAACGTTAACGGATGACGTCATAATTAATTCATCTTGCGTTGCGGAGTACGTCAATTTCAGGATTTTACAAACTCGACATACGTTAGTTACGGGTTTGCGCCTGCGTATTTTGATTTGTTTACAAAAAGGGGCGGAGCTATCGCATTGCAACGTTAAAGTTAAGGTTAACGTCGTCCGGCGAAAACTACCTAAGAGGAATTCAACAGAAACACAGAAGGGCTAGTGCTACTCACTGTAGTCTGGCCAAACCAATGATGATATCGAATTACTGTATTACATTTCCAATTAACATGGCTGTTAAACAGAATGATCTGATATGATAGAGCATATGCAGAACAAGGTTGTGATTCACATAGAAAAAAAAAAGGCAAAACGAAATGCAGAATTTTTGTCTACACCATCAGAAATATTATGACTTAAAAATTGTGTTATTATGTTAAAATATGTTTTTTTCTTTAATTTGCCATTTTGTACTTGGTGTTCATATTACGGTTTTGTTTTGCCGTTCTGGTTATTATTGTTTTGGTTTTTGTTTTTGTTTTTTTGTTTTAATATATCAAAAAACAATACCGTACTAAGAGAAATACCGAATTTTTAGTATTCATTTTTTGCTGTATTTGTATATAGTAGGAAGCGTATGATCGACAACAAAACGTATATAAAAACCGTCTGATAAAAGAGTAAATGGTACTAGAATGCAACAAACTTGGAAAAAAACCTATAAATACCGTAATATTAATTGAAATTTAGTTTAGTTATAATAGTAATCATTTTATTTGCTTTTAAGTAGCCTATGTTGTTACTTATTAGAAAGTCAACAAAACATAAATATAAAAAAAGTATGAAAAACCGATTGACGAACTTACAATGATAATTAGGCCTTGTTATATTAAATTTGGCGTTTCGCAACTCCACTGGTGCTCCATATTTTTGTCGAAATGAAGCGCGACCGAAACGATCTGTATTTCATGAGTAGATCATTTCATGTAACTAACTTGCCTTTTTGGGATTTACTTCCCCTGGATGACTTCTTCTTCATTGAATTCCCGACATTTCTTTTCATAGTTGATGACAGTGTAGCAAACAACCTCACCATGCTCAAAATGATTCTTCACTGCTTCAACTTCTTACTTGACGGACATGATAAAATATAAAAATATTACGTTAGGTCTAGGCACTTAGACTAGAGAGAGGCCCTACCCTAGGCCTAGTGCAGATGGGAACCGTAGTAGTAGGCGGCTAGGCCTAGGCTAGTCCGACCCTGCCTGCCGCCAGCACAGGCCTTCCCTTGGATCGAGCGTGGGACCGAGGGTTGGCAGCTTAGCTTAGCTAGGCCTAGCTAGGCTAGGTAAGTTTGCCTAGTTTGTTTGACAACCTATGTCAGTTCTGGATAAGCAAGGAGCCAAGAAAACCTTACAGTCGAGCTATCCCCTTCTCAGTAGGGCAGCAACAGAAAGGCAATCAACTAGTCAAAAAGCAGAACGTCCTTTGTTGTCGGTAGCCCGAGCCGTAGTGGTAGTGGCTATCGGCACTGCCGCAGTGCCAAAAAAAGCTGCTGTTTCCTATCGGCACTGCCGCAGTGGCAAAAAGCTGCCGTTTTCTATCGGCACTGCCGCAGTGCCAAAAAGTTGCTGTTTTCTATCGGCACTGCCACAGTGCGAAAAGCTGCTGTTAATTAATCGAATCGATGTTTTTATCGATAGATGACATT